CTTGGGAGTTCTCCCTGAACTCCCGTGGGGGTGCCGAACCAGCGGCACCTCTCCCCCTCGCTGCTGTGCGGTACGCCTCGCCAGAGAACTGTGAAAGGCGTCCGCCATCGTTGTGTCGTAGACCCCGCCTCCAAATACTTGTAATTCTGACCAGCATAGGGGGTACACCAATAGAGAAGTGCCTGCTCAAATGATGCTATTTGTTTGGCACCAATTAGGGATTTCTTGAAGTATGGATCATAATGATGTCATTTGGGGTATAAGACCTATTGCCCTTCTTGGTTGGGGCAGAATACAGCTTGGTGTTACTGGTTGCTAAGATATCCAGTCCTGTATTTTCCTGTTATTGCAATAAACAGATTTTTATCCGACTTGCTGGACTCCAACTGTGTGTTCCTCATCCAACCCCAGGAACACACGGGGCACAGATTTGGGCATCATCTATGTACTCACTTTATTCTTACAAAACATACATTACTCTGTAGACCATGATATATTGTTACATCTTACGTTATTATTTGGAACATTTAATAAAATGTCATTAAAAAAACCTCACTCAGACATAATCTAGGCAGCCTAGTAGATGGTAATTAAGTAGATCCTTGTGTATATGGGCCTTAATAGAGGGAAGCCTAGCTTCAGCATAAAGAAGGGGTATCCCTAGGAAGGCCTCCAAAATTTGTTGAAAAAATAATTTCAAAGAATTTGAATAAGCTACATACCAAATTTCACCAACATATCTTAGTAATTGGGAACACAAATGGCCTGCTCTTTCCCAGTATACAATTTGAATAGCTTGAACAATTTTAGAAGTTAAAACTAGGGGTATGTAAGGAAAACAAATCTATTTTTTCAGATTCAGGTATATCAGACCCGAAAAATATTGGTAAATACCAAATTTCCCCAGTCTGTTACCGGTATAGTATTTGGATTGAGAAAATATTTGGTATTTCTGAATATATTTGGGTCTATCATACCCATGGGAAGAGAAGGGAGAGTGATAAGGCATGTTTAAATGCCTTCCCTCCCCAAGTTGTTGGCCACTTCCACTGGTTAGTTTCACTCCTCAATAGTTAGGTGTTAGGTTTAGGCCATTTACTGGCTGAATGGGAAGTGGAGCTCTTAGCCAGTGCTAAGATCTACAGTCAGGGACCTAGACATTGGTGGGAAGAAGAAGAGACTGCATGCTTGATTGCATATGCTAAATAATTGCAGAGAGAGAGACAGGATGGCAGCTTAAGTACCTGCAGTTTGTTCACCATAAATTATTGTCAGATCAGTTGTGTGTGTATGTGGGGAGGCTAATTTTGCATGCAGTAAACAAAATAAGTGGTGAAGAGATGTGAAGGAGAAAATGGCTTTGTTTATATACCAGAAAGTAAGATAATTTTCAGCATCTTGCATCTAAGAGAAAATTAGATATCCAGAAAGCAAGAAAACAGCCCTTACTGTTAAGTCAAAGACAATAGGACTGTAATATGTACATCTTACATTCCATCAAAGTTCAATAAACTGATCTATGAAAGGCAGACTTACTTTCATTATTGCAAGAGGATGAGGAGGATTTAATTTTCATCCTGCTGTGTCCCATGCAACATGGATGCTTTGTCCGTCCCTGTAAGATATCTCTGGGATGAACTTGGGTGATGTTGTTTCCCCCCCCCTACCAACAGATGAAATTAGAAGTTTGCTGTCTTCCCTTCTCCGATCTAGCAATTTAGGTTCTGGAGCCCTTTTCATCAACAGTGTCTAGCCCTTCCTATCCATAGTTCTTTTGTGGTGGTGGTGGTATTAAAATATTTCTGAATATTTATTTATTTATTTATTTATTCTCAGATTCGTACCCCGCCCTCCCCGCAGGGCAGGCTCAGGGCGCCATATAATATTCCATTATATGGTGGCAGTTCAGCCAATCATTAGGGAGATCTCAAAGATTATCTTGTGTTTTGTGTATGTGGCATCCTCTTATTGGGGAGGACTGGTTTTCACTTTAAATTATACTTTGTGTTCGCAAACAGGGTAGTTTCTGCTGCCACCAGGAATTTAAACAAATTCCAAATCTTCTCTCATTAACTGCTGTTGGTAATGTGACCCAGGGCTGGGCTTTCAAAGGTCTATGTGGCCCTGAGGGTTAAACTTAAACAAAATAAGAACAAAATAAGATGCTGGTTAACTTTAACTGTTTTGGGGAAGAGAAACTGGTAAAATAAACTGGCAAGGTATCCCACACAGTATTTTGATCATAAGATCGCTCTCTGACAGGAATCACTCTTTCACTGGATAGCCACACTGGCAAAGCTCTTTGTATTTTTGACTTTCTTTCAGATCTTTAGAGTTTCACTTTTGAAGACTTATATACTGCACTCTAAACTCTTTAATTTTCCACACAGGCTGTGTCAGCTCACTCTCTGACTCCAACTCAAAACTCCAACTGATTTATCTAACTGACTTTTCATAACTCTTCAAGACACACACAGAGATTCATTTCAAAACAACTCCTCCCACACTCTGTCATCCACCAACCACAGCACACTTCTCTCTCTCAATCACTGTACTCTGCTATCACTGCACTCTAACCAAACATTTAAAGAGACACAAACACTCTTGAAACAAGGAATCATTACAGTGTATTTTTAAAAATTCCTGTGACATGTTTGGCAAATTTTGTTAGGGCACATCTGAGCTTTTTTATTTTGTTCATAAACTGAATAAGCTGAATATCCATAAGCTGAATTTGGAATATAAAACTATCATTATATATTGGTTCTGTCTTTAAAGATGGGGCAGACACTGTCACAGAATTTGAAACCTGTTTCCTTGTAGAAATCTAATTTATGAAACCAAGAAATCTAAACAAAAGTAATTAAATTGAAAAATTAAATTGAAAAATGATGATGTGGAATGATATGCTTTTATCACTACATAAAACTCAGACTAGTGTTTCTCTTTATAGTGTTCTTTTTATTGTCTATATGCTGTAATTGCTTGCTAACTAAACCGTAAAGAAAAATTGGACTTAATGTCTGTATGTCTGTACTTTTTTAACAGAACTACCAATGAAATAAAAAACCTACAGTACCTACCTCGTACTAGTGAGCCTCGTGAAATGCTCTTTGAAGACAGGACTAGAGCCCATGCAGATCACATAGGACAAGGCTTTGAACGACAGACAACAGCTGCTGTAGGAGTATTAAAGGCAGTGCATTGTGGAGAGTGGTATGTATTTGCCAGTGTATTCAGGGAAAACAGCAGAACATAACCTGTGTATTTCTTAACAGCTATTCTAGAGGGCCACTTCAGGGGGGAGCATAATAGAATACAGCTCCCTCAGTGCTCAGACTGTAGGTCACTCTTGCCTCTAGGCTGGCAAGTGGAGAGGTCAGATTTGACCTGGAGGCTCCATGTTGCTATCTTAAACCTATTTCAGAGTTAGTGCCGTGTATATGTTCATATGCCTAATGTTTGTATGCTTGTCTTGATGTGGCAGTAACAGATCTGCAGTATCTTTGGTATTAGTGAATTCCTGTTACTTGTCTGTTTTTTGGAAATGTTCCACATTGGTGTTTCATGTGATCGGTAAGTAGACTGGGGTAATAAACTTCTGGAATGGAAGTGTCCCAGTGACAGCTGAGAAACTAATACATGTGTTGTACACTCAAAATGCATACTTTACACCCTTCAGAGTTTTCTTCTGTTGTCATAATTTGTTTTAGTTGCTTTGTTAAGTTAAATGACTAGACTACTGTAGCAAATCAAGATCCCAGTTCCTTAAAACAGAAGTGTTGCATATGAGAAGCAGTTGTCAAATGATTCCTGTGATTAATGTCTTACTCAGAACTTTTCAGCTTTTGCATATTTTTCTAAGAGAGTATAGGGGGAAAAAGAGTAAAAACTGATGTATCCTGCTTTTTAATATTGATTTTTATTTGTTTTATTTTTGAAAAGCAGTTGTGTGAGTTTTTTTGCAGTTATAATGAATTGTTGCCTGATGTGTAGAAAAAGTTGATGATTTCTCTTTTTTAAAGTGTGTCATTTAAGTAGAAAGCTAGATTTTTTTTAAAAAAATTCTGTGTTGGCCATGAATTGAATCTGAATTAAGTTCACTAAATGACACCTTTAGCTCCAACCCCATAAGCTTACCGTACCTCTTGGTTTTCAGGCACACTGGAAAAAAGGAGGGTGTTTTTCATTCGGGGGTGGTTTACACTACTATGCTTTCTCATGCAGAATTGGCTGAGATCAACTGATAGATGTTAGTCATTGTTGCTACTACATGTATAGAAATATAAGTAGTTTCAGTTGGTTTCTGTCTTCTGCATGAAGCTTCTGTGAAATGAAGAGCACCTTCCTTCTACTTCAGAGTATTTGTGTTTAAAAATATTTGCAAACAATCTGTTAATTTTTTACAGTGACCCTGATGGCTCCATTTTTTTCTTGCTTAGGGTGGAACAGCCTCGAATAACCAAAGACGTAATTTGTTTTCATGCAGAAGATTTCTTAGAGGTAGTTCAACGAATGCAGTTAGACTTGCATGAACCTCCACTCTCACAGGTATTTTTCCTGTTAGATTAACCATCTTTGACTACAATTGTTTTTTAATTCTTGACAGTTATTAATTTTCTTTTCTTTCTCCCCAGTGTGTCCAATGGGTGGATGATGCAAAACTTAACCAATTACGAAGGGAAGGCATTAGGTATGCCAGAATACAGTTGTACGATAATGATATTTATTTTATTCCAAGGAATGTTGTGCATCAGTTTAAAACAGTTTCAGCTGTGTGCAGTTTGGCTTGGCATGTTCGGCTCAAGTTGTACCACTCAGAGGGAGAACATAAAACCATCCATGAGAAAGGCCCACCAACAGAGCCCACATCTTCAGTGCTGGGACTTCAGACTGACAGTGTAATCCATGCAGAAAACAAAAATTCCTCCGAAGAAACCAAATTTTTAGGCAATCTACACTCTAAATATGTAAAACAGGAATTTTCATGCACACATCCTGAACCTGCTGCATCTCACTGGATTAAAGAGGAGCCAATGAAAGTTAATCTTCCAGAAAAGACAATGGCCCCGAGTGCCACGGAATATCAGAATGTTAATGCAAAGCTGGGTCACGTTCAGTCTGAAACTGACTCAGAATTTGAACCTGATGACAAAGACTTGCAGGACAGCTTGTGCCCGGAGGATCGCATGAATCTGGAGGACACAAGACAGAGCAGTCCAGCATATTGAAGTCTGCATGGCAAGAGAGAAGAGGACTTTTTGTGTTGAAATTGTTTGTATATATGTTTGTAAATTGCTTTTAAAACCTAATGACATAATAATGTAAAGATGCTTAAATTCTGTGAGGTAAGTTTGGTACTTACCTTCACATCTGTTACAGAAAATAGTTTATGTAGCTTTGTAACATTCCTCAGTGCCTGTCCATAACTGTGAAAGTATCAAAGCACTTAGGGCCAGATGCACTGTAAACACTGCAGGTGTAACATAAAGAAGTCTTTAAATATGAGTTGTAGGTTTTAGAGTAGAGCTGACATTTAACATATATTTTTTGTATGATGAGCCAGAATTCTTTTTGACAATTCCAGGCTTTTCCATAGAGCTTATTTATACCAATTTTTTTCTTTTTAATGTGTCAGCACTGTAGTGTAAATAGCCTTTTTTTTAAAAAAGATCTTTTTAGTGTGATTTATATTGAAATGTGAGCCACTTAATAAAGGTTCATAATAACAATAATGGTTTTATTTTTGGGTCCCTAAAAATAATCAGCCCAGGTTTTCTTTTTTGCTTAATGCCTACTCTTGCACAAACATGAATATTCTTGCGTGAAATAACAGAATACTCAGATATAAGCATAGAGTTAATCTTTGCACATAAGTAATCTTGCTGTTGAATTTTTCACAGAGTCCTGTTATGGGTACTTGAGAATTTTAATATTTATTTGGAAGAACAGTTCATGTAGTGGTTACATATGTGCGAAACAATTCTTTAGTCATAACTTCCATTGACAGTTGTATGATATTTTAATTGTTTTATGTTTTTGAGCCAAACAGTCATTAGTTACAGCAATCTTTTGCAAACCCATCAGCCTAGATGTTGTGCTGTGCTCAGAAAAGTGCACACCACCTTGCGTCTAACGTCTTTCGTTCTTGCTCTTCTGCATACAGGAAACATTGGCAAATGGTCAAAGGAAAGTTGTGAAAAAATTACAACTGTTGGAATGTTTTGGTATAATGGAGAGGGCTCCTTGTGAACACTGGGTATAATTCTGGACATCTTATGTTTTGCAGTCAGAACACTAGACAGATGAGAGAACTGCCAAGCTGTTGAGAAAAGGGTCCAAAAATAGAAGGAAGGCCACTTCATTGTGAACTCCACCAGCGGACAAACCTGGTCCGACTTTATTCTTTTGCTAAATGCACGAGCCTGTTTTCAAGTTTTCTGTGATGTCCAAAAGTGGCTCTTTGGGATCCTAAGTATCATAGTACAAAATCATATATGACCATCACTAACCTTTTCCCCCCAGCAGTTGTGTGTAACTGCTGCTGGGAGGCCTTTTGAATACAAGGATCAGAACCTTAGTTATGTACTAAAATGCAGTTGGGCATTAGGGCTGTGTTGGAGAGTTCAATGTATTTTGAATCATGAATAGCCCATGGTGGCCTTTTTTAAAAGTTTTTTTAGTGGCTGCACGTTTGTCTAGTTTGCCTACCCTGTAAGAAGAAAATGTTCATTCCTGCTAAGTCAGATCATAGTTTGAAAAGGAGTTAACATACACAGAACAGTCAGTTACATTATAATACAGCAGTACTGGTGGCAGTTTTAATAGTATTTCTTACAGTGAAATTTTGGTAGATACAATTTACTCGCAGTCCATAACTGAACACGGACAAGCGCCATCTTTCACTGTTGAATTGGATATACTTTTGCATGAAGAAAACAGGCAGCATTCTGTCACTCAGTGTGCTGAGACTAAAAAAGAAGCTCCTGTTTTGTAACAAATTGCCTCTTTAACAAAGTAAACTAGAATTTAAGGCAATGTGCTTGTTAGGAGAATCATAAAGAATCACAACTTGTTAGAGAAAAGGGCCCCAGCTTCAGAAATGCTCTGTCTGAGAAAAGTGGTATGACCAGAAAGTTTAGCTTTGACATTTTCCTCAAGGTCCTGGTTTTATATATCCAAGGAGTTCTTGACATGAGGGCAGCATTAAATCATGCAGTTTGCACTTCCATTTTGAAACAGAATAGTCCTAAAAAGGCTTTACAACATGAAATCATCATGGAGAAATAGAAGTGACAGAAGGGAATTATAATGCCAAAAGTTGCTAGAGCTTGCACAACACCAGGAGCTGTGAGTTCTTAATGTAAGGACTTATACATTTATAAATGTATCCTACTAACACTGTCAAAACACCTTTCAGAATTCCTTTTTCAAATTCTCGGTGGGATGGGAAAGTCTTTCAGGGCTTGAAAGGATGAGTCCTAACAATTAATTGAAGCCTGGAGCATCCTCTGCTTTCAAGGCCCCCAAGGGCATCTTCATCAACTGGGTTGTCACTGGCTGCTGCTGTTTCCAGCGTCAGCTGACCTTCTAGCATTGGTCTCTTTGCTGTTCTTCTCCAGTTAGCTGTGTTGCAAAAGTAGTCGCTATGTGATTGAGAATGCTTTTTTCCCCCAACAGAGGCTTAAGCTCTCCCACTTACCCCTTCCAAATCACCATGGCACAGACGGAAACCCGTTCCAATCTCCCCAGCTTGGTAAAGAGCAAGTAATACTCTCAGCCATCTGTATTCTGTATCATATGGTTTTTGCCACACTTGGCTTCAAGTGAGCATTATTAGAACTTGCACATGCTCACTTCAGTATAGTGAAGCTAGAATTGTCACAGTGGTTCTTCTTCATGGTTATGGTACATCACACTAATAGGATTTCAGATGTACCTACTGTCCACATTTGGGACATATAAAAACTAACTGAGTGAGATCCCACCAGTGTGACTGCACAGATGACCTCTTGAAGAATACCAGTTACAGGTAAGCAAACTGTTTTAATCTGTTCTTCCTAACAGTCTTGAACAGTCTGTGATCCTTCAGTAAGTGTTAGTATTGCCTGCACTTAAAACTTTACAGTTTTGATATCTGTGTATAGCTGTATTTCATCTGCATCTGGCCCTAGAACATTTTCCAAAATAATTTACAAGTCTCTGTAACTCAAGATGTATCTCATGAAAATTGGTAACTGATCTGGTACTCACACAAATTCCCAGACTTGGGAAGTTTTTCATAATGTGAAAATGTTACTTGTGTTCTAGGATAGAATGGAGACATGGGTTCATACTAGTATATTTCATGGAAAGGTCTTTACTAATATGAGCATTATTATTTAACTCACTCTTAGCTATATTTCTTTAGTGCCTACTGTTGGTAAATCCAGTTGGCACATCAGAGCGAATAAAAAATAGCAAATGCTATAATTCAACTTGATTTGATTACTTTTGTCAAGTTTGTTTTCAGATTCTTGCTTGCTGCTCTTCCTCCTATTTTCTTTAATAAAGACTAATTCCAGCAGGTAGCTATGTCAGCTTGTTGCACCCAAAATAGTGAAGTCTTGTGGCATTCTAAAACCCTTATGATTTTATTATGGAATAAGCTTTTTATGTCAGAGATCACTTCATCAGATGCATGAAATGTTACATTCAGTTGGCAGATTTATACCTAAAAGTAAAAAAGCAGAAGTGGGTTTGTGTGTGGGGGGGGATTTGGTGGGTCTTCTAGCGGGATCTTGCTTTCATCTGTTCTACAGTAGTGTAATACAGCTGTATCTTGGTAAACTGGACCTTGTGGACTCTCTTTAATTTCCCTTGCTCTTCTGCTGTTTGTAGCTTTTGGCTTCATAGGTCTGCCAGTTGTGTTTGACAGTCCATGTATCTGTTGAAGGTAGTGTCTGGCTTAAAAAAGCTTGTGCCAAAAATAAATATGTCTTAAAGGAGCATGAAGATTCTTATTCATTCCATTGTTTAATACTTACAAATACTTACAAAATCTGGATTTCTTAATTTCTCATAATGCTAATGGTTCTCTCTTGGTCGACTTAAATTCTTTCTTATTTTGGAGTGGCCCTGGCCCTGGTTGAGACACGGCAGATGTCTTCTGGGCCGGGGACTACTAAATGGTGCTGGTGTGAAGAGCGCAACCTTCTGTGATGGCTTAAAGGACTTAGACATATTCAGACTTAATGATCTACCCTATCATGTCTATGTAGTCCACTGCCCCTCAGGATAAGCAGGATGTGGACTGGAGTTAGCTGGGCGGCATGAGGATGCCACCTCTCTAGAGGCTAGATCGGACCCACCAGTCGCCAAATCATTAAATATGCTTGTCCAGTTTGGCACATGTATTGTGGTGGTAGATAAAGTACATTAGTATCTTTCTTAAAATTGTTTTCATTGAAACTAGTTTCCTATTGTATTAAATTCTTCGGCCAGAAAGCATGAATGTTTAGCTATTGCACGTGTACCAAAAGTAGCTTCTTTATTGCAGTTGTTACTATCATAGAAGTGATGGACTGTAAGGTGGTGTTTGACAGCTACTTCCCAAAGAGTTATCTACAGACTTCTGAAATAGTTTACAATGCCCAAAAAAAATCCACTTAACCAAAGGAGATTTTAGATAGGCGGATTTAAGCCAGTAAATTTTATTTATTTATATTTATTATTAAATTTATATCCCGCCCTCTCCGCAGACGGGCTCAGGGTGGCTCACAGTCAAGGGCACCATGTGCCAAATATAGTACACTAAAAACAGAATAAAAACAACCATGTTTAACAAAATAAAGTGCTCAATGATGTTGATCATCCGATCAAATCAAGATGGTGACTTGTAGGCATTACCCAAGAACCCGATTCAGCGGTGCCAATCCATCGCGATACTGTGGCTCGATCTTTATAATGGGCCATCCCATTACCCCATTGTTACCATAAAATAGTTGTTGTTGGTGTTAGTGGCGGCTCCTAATTGGAAGCCTGGCAGAAGAGCTCCATCTTACAGGCCCTGTGGAACTGTGAGAGGTCCCGCAGGGCCCTGATCTCCTCCAGGAGCTCGTTCCACCAGGTAGGAGCTGCCACTGAAAAGGCCCTGGCCCTGGTTGCCGCAAGCCTGTCCTCCCTGGGGCCTGGGTTCACTAATCAGTGTTAATTAAGCCCCCAACCATAGTGCTCTCTGGGGTATGTATGGGGAAAGGCGGTCACTCAGGTATGTCGGACCCTGGCCATATAGGGCTTTAAAGGTAAATACCAGTACCTTGAAGCGAATTCGGAATGCTATTGGCAGCCAGTGCAGTGCTTTCAGTGCAGGCCGGATGTGCACCCATCTAGGGAGACCCATCAGGAGCCTGGCCACAGCATTCTGCACTAACTGCAGCTTTCGAATTTGCGACAAAGGCAGCCCCATGTAGAGAGTGTTACAGTAGTCTAATCTTGAGGTGTCCATTGCATGGATCACTGTAGCCAGGTCGTCGCGGTCGAGGAAGGGAACCAACTGCCAAATCAGCCGAAGGTGGTAAAAGGCCGAGCCGGCAGTTGCTGCC